CGTACTCCGCGGGGAGGCCGGGCTCCATCTTGGGCTCGACGAGGACGAAGCGGCCGGTGAGGGAGGCGTTGTCGCCGATGCGGACGCCGAAGCTGCGCGTGTGCGCGCTGACAGGCGTGCCCTGGGGCTCCGGCTTGACGAGGCGGAGGTGGAGGCAGGGGGAGCCGCCGGACGAGGAGGAGGACCCCCCGGTCTCCATGCGCCTCGGGGTCCAGGAGCTTCCCCGGTGGCGTGGGAAGGACGGGGGAGCGGGGTACTCGAGGCGCGGCGTGTTGCCGCCCTCGATGTACTCGAGGACGGCCTCCAACGTGCGCCCGGGCACGCCCCACCACCGACGCCGGCCGACGGCGTTGAGCCTGCCGGAGGGCTCGACGCCGTTGGTGGCCTCGAGCTGCTCGGCGTGACGGCGGCGGAAATAAGGCTCCCAGAGCAGGCTGTCGGGGACGTACCGTGGCCCCTTCCTCGCCGCACGCGGCAGGGACGAGCGAATGCATGCGATCTCCGCACGCCGCGCCGCGCCGGTGGGTATCGGGGGCACCAGCACGCCGCCGGCGCTGATCCTCCACGCCCAGGGCACCCGCATGTCCGGCGGGACCGGGTACTCGGCCTCGAAAAGGAGGCGAGTCTCGTTCTCGTGCAGATGGCGGCGGCCGAAGCCGTTCGCCGCCGCGCCGTCGCCTGGGAAGTGCTCGGCCATGGGTGTGATGAACTGGAGACGGCGAGAGAGAGAAGAGGGAGGAACGACGACGGCGAGAGAGTGCGAGTCGCCGAGTGCGCTGGGGCGCGTCTTATATAGGCCGAGGCGCCGCCCGTGCGCGAGCCGTCATGAGTACGTGTGGCGGGCGAGGGAGGGCGAGGGACGCGCGTCATCCGGTCTTCACTGCGCCGCCCGTGAGGTATCAATGGCGCAGGCTGACCGGCGCGGCAGCGCGGCAGCTTTGGCATTGATTCGACGCGGGAAACGAGGCGATGAGGACGACGAAGGGGCGAGAAGAGGGTAGAGTCGCTGACGCGGCGGGCCCGCGGCTGTTTCGCGCCAAAACAGTTCGCCCCGGCGCCCCGGGCGCCCCCAGCGCGCCAAGTTCGGCCTGGATCCGCCGGCGCTGTTTTCGGCCCAAGCCGGCGAAAATCGGGCTCCTGGGGGCGCGACTGTGCCGATTTTTCGGCACCGGCGCAAAAAAATGTCTGAGAAGGCCTTTCTGAAAGCGCGGCTGAAGATGCCCTAAGGGGGCAGCACGTGAGCACACCTAGTGCGGTGAGTGCCAACGACAGGGAGAAGAATGTTTGCGCGGGAAAGAAAAGTGGCGCCTTTTTGGTTGTGGGAGGGAAGCCGGCCACATGTGAGCTGAGCCACACACAGATCTGACACGAACAGATCGGGCCTTTCCCACCGTACCCGACCTTTTGGTTACCCTGTTGTCCGTGGGTATGGACTATTGAGCGCGCCCACAATGCCACAAGTTCATGCCTGACGGTACACAGCCCGTGCCTCTTGTTAGCAGGAGCTAGCTGGATCCATGTGCATGTGGTTTGATTCTGGCATGATTAGTTAAAGATGGATTACCGCCGGATCGAGTATGTCGTTAACTCCAAGTTAGAGTTCTACCAACTTTATGTTAGGCCTTCCTGATCACTAATTGTTAGGCCGTATCAAGTCTGCAAAAACAGCTAATCGTTTTAGGTTTGTTCGGTCAAGCACCACTTGCTCAGTCATATATACCGGCAGTTCATGCAAGTGCTCAAGTTGTACTTCCTTCGTTCGGAATTACTATTAGATGTTCTAACAATTTTCTAAATCGGACATATATAGACATGTTTCGATGTGTCTGTCCACTCACTTCAGTTCGTACATAGTCTATATTGAAATACCCAAAACGTCTTTATAACTCGGAGGGGAGGTGGTAGCATACTTTGAGAAAGGTGTCCCGAACTTGGTGGCCACCGTGCAATGCAAGTTTGCGTTGCAAGCATGTCTTAATTATTGTACGTGTATCTGTCTTCTCCTTTTCACATTACATTTATTGTTCGCTGCGCATTGCCTGCCATGCGAAAGCCATCTCTAGTCGATGGATCGTCAAGAAAATGACACGTCGGCGTGCGTGCAGGCGATCGGCAGGGAGGCACGGGCGCTGTACAACCTGGGGCAGGCGGAGGGGCTGACGATGTGGTCCCCGAACGTGAACATCTATCGGGACCCGCGGTGGGGCCGCGGGCAGGAGACCCCGGGGGAGGACCCGACGACGGCGAGCCGCTACGGCGTGGCGTTCGTCAAGGGCCTGCAGGGGAACTCGTCGGCGTCGCTGCTGCAGACGTCGGCGTGCTGCAAGCACGCCACAGCCTACGACCTGGAGGACTGGGGCGGCGTGGCCCGCTACAACTTCGACGCGAGGGTGACGGCGCAGGACCTGGAGGACACGTACAACCCGCCGTTCCGGAGCTGCGTGGTGGACGGCGGGGCCAGCTGCGTCATGTGCGCCTACACCGGCATCAACGGCGTCCCCGCCTGCGCCAACTCCGACCTCCTCACCAAGACCGTCAGGGGCGACTGGGGCCTCGACGGGTACTCTACTGACCCCAATTTTTTGTTTGTTTCGATTGGAAGTCACATGCTACTGATGAATGCCATGGTCGTTTTTGGTTGCTTGCGTGCGTGCGTGCAGGTACGTGGCCTCCGACTGCGACGCCGTGGCCATCATGCGTGACGCGCAGCGGTACGCGCCCACGCCCGAGGACGCGGTCGCACTCGCGCTCAAGGCCGGTACGTAACCATCACTAAACCACCTTGCATGGATTTGCATTCGTTCAGTTAACACACGACTAAAACTCATCACTTGCTCAGGGCTGGACATCGACTGCGGGACCTACATGCAGCAGCACGCGGCGGCGGCCGTGCAGCAGGGGAAGATCACGGAGGACGACATCGACAAGGCGCTCAAGAACCTCTTCGCCGTCCGGATGCGCCTCGGCCACTTCGACGGCGACCCCAGGGCCAACGTCTACGGCGGCCTCAACGCCGCCGACATCTGCACCCCGGACCACAGGTCACTCGCCCTCGACGCCGCGCAGGACGGCATCGTCCTCCTCAAGAACGACGCCGGCGTCCTCCCGCTCGACCGGGCCGCCGTCGCCTCCGCCGCCATCATCGGCCCCAACGCCAACAACGCCGGCCTGCTCATCGGCAACTACTTCGGCCCGCCGTGCGAGTCCGTCACGCCGCTCAAGGGGGTCCAGGCCTACGTCAAGGACGTCAGGTTCCTGGCAGGGTGCCGCTCGGCGGCCTGCGACGTGGCCGACACGGACGAGGCGGCCACGCTGGCGGGCTTGTCCGACTACGTGCTCCTCTTCATGGGGCTCAGCCAGCAGCAGGAGAGCGAAGGGCGCGACAGGACCAGCCTGCTGCTCCCCGGGCAGCAGCAGAGCCTCATCATCGCCGTCGCCGACGCCGCCAAGAGGCCCGTCATCCTCGTGCTCCTCACGGGCGGGCCGGTGGACGTGACCTTCGCCAAGAGCAACCCCAAGATCGGCGCCATCCTCTGGGCCGGATACCCCGGCCAGGCCGGCGGGCTCGCCATCGCCAGGGTGCTCTTCGGCGACCACAACCCCGGCGGGAGGCTGCCGGTGACCTGGTACCCGGAAGAGTTCACCAAGGTGCCCATGACCGACATGCGGATGCGCGCCGACCCGGCCACCGGCTACCCCGGCCGGAGCTACCGCTTCTACCAGGGAGAGACCGTCTACAAGTTTGGCTACGGCCTCAGCTACTCCAGCTACTCTCGCCGGCTGGTCTCATCCGGCGCCCCCAACACGGACTTGCTCGCAGGCCTGAGCACAATGCCATCGCCAGCGGCGGAAAAAGGCGTCGCCAGCTACCACGTCGAACATATTGGCCCACAACGGTGCGAGCAGCTCAAGTTCCCGGCCGTGGTCGAGGTGGAAAACCACGGCCCCATGGACGGCAAACACTCGGTGCTCGTGTACCTCCGGTGGGCCAACGCAACGGCCGGCCGGCCGGCAAAGCAGCTCATCGGGTTCAGGAGACAGCACCTCAAGGCAGGAGAAAAGGCCAGACTCACATTTGACATCAGCCCGTGTGAGCATTTTAGCAGGGTGAGGAAGGATGGCAACAAGGTGGTAGACAGAGGGTCTCATTTCCTCATGGTTGACAAGCATGAGATGGAGATTACATTCGAGGTTTGATCGATCCCTAGATTGATTGATTTGCAGGGAAGGGGTAGAGGTGGATACATAGAGTGTAATTCCACCCATTCTGGTAGTGTAATTTATATTTCCATTGGTGTGAGTTCAGTACCCTTGGAAACTAGGCTGTTGTAAGGGATGATGGGTTCGCCGCTTCTTCAAATAAAGATAAAGATAAGATCAATTAGTCCAACAAAAAGACACGTCTTTTTTTTCCTCAATGAGAATGTCATGCAGATGTCAATTTTGATAACTGATTGTATCACTTCACAAACACCAACTAGCCTTAAATATAACCAGGCTTGTACCAAATTAACAGTCAAATAAGCACCCAGTTGAGACCATTCTAGTTTGTGAAATACAGAACTGTACAGACTAGGGAGAATGCCATGCACATGTCAATTGTGATAATTGATAGTATCACTTCACAAACAAAATATAATCAGGCTTGTACCAAACTAACAGACTAGAGAGGGCAAAACACCAATTGCTGTATTATTATGCTATAAAAATAACATAGAGAAACATAGTTGATGCAAACCAGTGCAAACGCCAACTCTTGATTGTTCATCAACAAGCACCCCCTGCAGTCCATCTCTTGTGATCATTCATGTTGCAGAAAAACGGAAAAAGGAATGCACCAGCTAGCACGAACCTGGCTCAAGTATACCCTTTTTAGCTTACCATGAACAGTTTATTCTTTAGGTCTGGCTGCGTGGATAAGTATGCAGAGGATGGGGGGATGAAACTCTTCCATTATCTAAAAGACCATTACATATGTTGAGAATGTGTGCTTCTTGTGATTACACATCCTTGAAAAGAAGCTGGAATCTGGGTATCCTCTCTGGTGGAAGTGGGCAAGACACTATCAGTTTGCCTTTCATCGCGCCCCTGAACACTGCCTGCCATCAATACATCACAAAGAGGTGAAATGAAAAATACTTGTCTAGCAATGGTGTACAGAAGAACCTGTGATACAGAATGTAAACCATCACAGATGAGTTCTTCTGCTGCCTTGAATCAACTAAGTTTTTTGTTGCGCAGAGACAATTGCATACCAAAAATCTCAGATAAAGGCAGCGCTAAGAATTAACAATCAAGCCCATGGGCTACCATCACTCACGGACTAAAGTCACCCCCCCCCCCCTCCTCCATGGACCAAATAAGACCAGTTTTCCTTTGTTGTTTTTCTTGTTTAGGGGTATTCTGGACTTCTATAGAATATAGATTACAAAGCCCCTACTTCCCTACTTTTCACTCTCCACCAAGAGTTTTGGTGGTCATTTGTACTAGGCCAAGGGCCTATAAAAGGCACCCATGGCTCATTTGTAAGCCGTCTCTCATATGGAACAAGAGCTCTCATTAAAGATGTGGGCGTGTGGCCTAAAACTTCTTTGAGGTGATCCATTCGGACAACTAGAGATTCAAGTAAATTTTCCTCTGAGCATTGGGCTTGGATGGAAGGAGTTGGTAAGGAATTCATTTCGTGTCGACGGACTGGCCACCGTCACGTCTCCGGATTGGCATGTCGTACCCAAGGCTACAATCCTCAATGGGATTATGCCACGTTCAACTGGGAGTCACGGCTGAACCCGGTTAAAAAATATCTTGTCTGACTAGACATTTAACAAGTCTCCATGTTGGTAGTTGGAACCAGTTGAGAAGGTTGATTTGTATCATGCCATTTTGTTTCCATCAAAAAGGAAACAGGGTGCCGTTATTAAAATATAGCTTTTGAGAAGTTTGCCCTTGTTGTTTTTCTTGTTTAGGCTTATTTTGGACTTTTATAGAATAGAATACAAAGCCCCTACTTTTCCCTCTCCACCAAGAGTTTGGTGGTCATTTGTACCAGGCCAAGGGCCTATAAAAGGCACCCATGGCTCATTTGTAAGCCATCTCTCATATGGAACAAGAGCTCTCATAAAGGTGTAGGCGTGTGGCCTAAAGCTTCTTTGAGGTGATCTGTGATCCATTCGGACAACTAGAGGTTCAAGTAAATTTTCCTCTGAGCATTGGGCTTGGATGGAAGGGGTTGGTAAGGAATTCATTTCGTGTCGACGGACTGGCCGCCATCACGTCACCGGATTGACATGTCGTACCCGAGGCTACAACCCTCAATGGGATTATGCCACGCTCAACTGGGAGTCATGGCTGAACCCGGTTAAAAAATATCTTGTCTGACTAGACATCTAACAAATCTCCATGTTGGTAGTTGGACCCAGTTGAGAAGGTTGATTCGTATCATGCCATTTTGTTTCCATCAAAAAGGAAACAGGGTAGTGCCGTTGTTAAAATATAGCTTTCGACAGGTTTTATAGCATGCCTTTGGGTCTTTACATGGCCTTCTCCAATTTTGAAAACATGTTCCAGTAGAGGACCAGTATCCACAGGAAAAATGACCATTTTCATTCAGATTTCCTTTGTTATTCAAACATGTGCTCCAATTAACTGTTTGCAAGAGATTACACCAAATTGTATAGGATATATCAGCCCTATCATAATATGCATTTTCTCTGTTCTCTTTACATATATTCTTGATCATGCGGATTCTGAACAGCAATTCACACATGTATGGACAAATATCTATAATCTGTACTTGTGTATAATAATCTGCAGCTAAGTATAATCAGTCCTCCTTTTTAGTTACGAAGAAAGTACAAGAATTATGATGTTCACATCATTAACTTGCCATTGTCAATAGTCGAACCTGATTACTGAAACAATTCGAGAAAGTACAGGACTTTTCACCCACTCACCTCGACTACATCAATGAAGTCTTGCTTGCTGCTGAAAGAGCCTATCCATTTTGTATGATCAGGTGTCCTGTAAATATACATTATAACCAGTTCATCATTCATTTTGCAACTAGAGTATGCCACAAAATGTAACTAATATGATATCCCTGTTGGTGCATACAATTCAGTATCAACCTAGCCAACTCTTTGAAGTTCAAGTTCGGACCGTAGCCACCAATACATTTTCTCATATGTTTGAAAGCTTCTCCATAAATCTTTCATGTAATCTACTTGAAATTCCAAATGAGAAATGTTAAATCTTTTGTAGATCTTGGAATGTGTAGTCGTTAATATAAACTCAGTTGTCAGTAGTTTCAGAGGAAAATGGATGTCTCTGAGATTTTTACATCATGATACATATCTATGTGAAATCAACATGAACACAGCGTGCCAAGTATTTGGAAATAGTATAACAGCTAACCAGGCATTATTTGAAATACATTAGAGACCGTGATAACTTTAGGTCGGTGTCATTCAGATACACACAGCTCATTTCAAACTTTGAAGGAAAAGGCTTGAACGGTATCAACATGAATTCATATAAGTATAAAAAGTAAGACAGACATATCTAAACAGCATCATAGCAAAGGAATTAACAGAGAAAGAACAATAACATACCCTGAATCCATTTTCATGTGATGAGCGTTGAAGAAAAAAATGATTGCTGGGACCAACGTGATATCAAAATAGTCAACATACACCTGAATCTCCTCAGAATCCATGTCAACTAATGCTACCGTTGCAAATTTGGATATGTCCCAAGAAGATTTTGCCAGCTGTTGAAACAGCATGAACATGATAAGATTAAGAAAATGGCATACATATTACAGAACTCATAAAATTCGATACAGAAAAGGACGTGAATGAAAAGCTTGCCATCAATAAGTTCAATTAATTTACAAACTATCCTATCAAACAAATGAGGTGGTAGCCACCAGGAGTTAGGCAGGATGACCTAGGAATGTCCAAGCATTCTTTTCCTTTGCTCCTATTTTGTTCATGCCGCGTCACTGTAAGACATGTGTATCAACAATCTACTAGCTTTCACCATGATTGGCAGATTCTGCGTGGAGTATACTTAGTAATCCAGTTTAAGGTTAAATCATTTGAATATCAGGATTTGCCTCTTAACCCTGCCCTGCTCAAGCGACCAAGTTTGTAATCGCAGAAACCAGGCTTGTCATTTCATTCCCACCGGGAAAATTATACTACTGGGTATTTGTGAACAAACAACAGTGCAATCACTCTTAAGAGTAAAGGAAATGACTACCTCGCTATAACCCGACAGTAAAAAATTGAAATCGACTTCAGACAAGGTAGTAACACATAGCTTCATCCGGCGCATGTTCATCACGCAGCAACAGTTTCCTCTCAATAATAAACCTTACAACTTAACAATGTAGAAACCAGCACCTAATCAAGGGAGTACCCTACATGTACAAACTAATGTGCATAAGAAGGCCCTCCAAGAACTTAATCAGACTGAACCAACTGTTCCCAGCTAGTATCAGATTGGACTCACCTACCAATCCAATCACATCGGCACAGAAGAAAATAAGGAACCCCTTGTGGAGTATTCATGGACTGACTTGACGAGAAGCGGTGGAATCAGACGGCAGCTGCGGGGGAGAGGAGAAGGGAGAAGCGTGGCGGCGGCGGCGGCGATGTGCTGCGCACTTACGACGTCGTCGAGCTGGAGGCAGGCGGCGTCGGAGGCGCGGCCGAATCGGAGGACAAGGACCTTGTCGAGGGTGTCGCGGATGGCGGTGTCGACCTCCCGCTTCCGCCGCAGCGTCGGCAGCACCACCGACCCCATCTCGCCCTCTCTCTCTCTCCTCGCCGGACTGCTTTTTTTTTTTGAGGGATCCTCGCCGGACTGCTGCAAGGAAGGAATCAGCGGATTCCCCCCACCACCTATCCTTCCGCAAACAGGCCTGTAGCCCTGCCCTTGAGGCCTGTTTCAGTCGGCCCTCGACTAGTCTCCAGCCCAGGTTAACAGCCCACACGTCATTTTTCTTCATCTCATGCCTAAAAAACAATCTTAATCTAGCCCTAAAAAAATCTTAATCTAAAAAAACATTATTTTTATTTTTATAAAAATAATTATCTGCTGCTTTGTTTATTTAGGAAAAATCATCATGGCTAACTTTTTTCGCGAAAATGATCAAATCTATTATAAAAATTCACTGGAAGTACAAAGCATCTCAAACATAATAAAAAATACATCGAAATTTTGAGACCACCGAACAACCACTACTGCCACCAGAACAAGCTGCTGATGCGCCGCTCGGCTACCGGAGCCGGCTTGACCTTGTCGATGACAGCCGGGAAGTCTTCATGCACTTGCCCTAAGGACCAACACCCTGGAGATGTAGTTGTCGCCGTTGAACCCTTAAATAGATCTGAAACACCTGACACCAAATCTCGCCATATGATGAGAAACACTAACCTCGCCACCCCAAGGAGATGGCAGGAATCTACGCCAGAGCTCCGTCGACTGCGTCCAGGCGGACGAACTCGGGGAGAATCGAAACCCGAAAGACAAACTTGAAGAAACGTCGCTATCCACCTAAGCGTTGCGCCCGCGAGGAGTAAAAAGAAAATCCTAACCTAAACAACTAACAAGAGCGGATGCACCAGAATTCCCTTTCCCGCTACCAGCCGCCGAAGCGAGAGGCAAAGCGTAGGCGAACCCAGTGAAGCATGGATGAAGACTCGCCAGTGAAGCATGGATGATGGAAGGAGAATCAACAGTCCATCAGACAATTTGTTCTCCTGGTGATTTGTTTCCCACACCGTAACAGAAGCCTGCCCAGAATTGCTGATTGTCAAAAAAAAGAAAAGAAAACATGCCTAGAATTGCAGCTGAATCCCACCAATATGACCTGACAGAGTTATTTCTTTCCATGGCTACTATGAAGCCAGGTTTCAAGGGAATCACTTCGGGGTCTCATGTGACAAGATATCATTACGAGATGTTTAACTACTTACAGTCATCATGGAAGGGGTTTCTGAGATGAAAGAAATAGCAATATCCATATATTCCAATATGTGTGCAATATTCTTTTCTTGTCGCGGGGAAAGATTCCATGTGAGCATATATGCATGTGTCGCAAGGAAAAAAAAATCATGCTATAACTTTGCCACATAATAAGGAAATTATATCACTTGTTATACTTCACAATCAAGGCAATATGGAAAAGAAAAGGAGGAATTTCTCTGAAGATTTGTATTAAAGTAATTACCAATATGCGAATCAACCTGTGGTTGAGTTGGTTAGGTGGACAGTGGTATCCCCAACCCAGGGTTCAAATCCTGGTGCTCGCGTTATTCCTGGATTTATTTCAGGATTTCCGGCGATGCGCTTTCAGTGGGAGGAGACGTTCCCGTCGTCGAGGCGCCTACGGTGACTTCGTAAATCTCAAGATGATATGCCGGCTCAGTCTCTCGGAGGTGCTCATAGGGGTAGGGTGTGCGTGTGTGCGTTCATATGGGTGAGTGTATGCGCGTGTATATGAGCGCTTGTGTCTGTACTGATGCTAAAAAAAAAGTAATTACCAATATGAAAAATGCCCTACTGAAAAATCCTACCAATATGACTTGGGAGAGTTATTTCTTTTTCATGGCTACTATGAAGCCAGGTTTCAAAGGAATCTCATCGGGGTCTCATGTGACAAGACATGATATCAAGATGTTGCCCTACTTCCAACCATCATGGAAGGGATTCTAAGATGAAAGAAGTAGCAATATCCATATATTCCAATATGCGTGCAACATTCTTTTCTTGTAATGGGGAATGCATCCACATGAGCATATATGCATGTGTGGCAAGAGAAAAAATATGGAACACTTGTTAGTTAACTTATTATAGACTTAAAAAACAAAGCAATATGGAAAAGAAAATTACGATTTCCTCTTAATATTTGTATTAATGTTAATATAAAGGTGAAGGACTTTTGTAAAATGGCATTCATTCTAGGAACCATAAATTAAAGTGTTCAAAACACCTTACTGGAAAATCCTTCAAAGAATGGTGAAGGACTTTTTTCTTACATTGCGGAGTGTATGTATCTTTACCAATCAAAGAACTAATAGGACTCACCCGCCAAAAAAAAAGAATTAACAGATTAGCTTGCATTTCCAACGTTCCCACAAAAAAAGCTTGCATTTCCAACGAAACAAATGTATAACGTATACACAAGCTAATTTTATTTGCCGAAAAATCATAATATAAAAAATTTCAAGAAATAAATAACACTATATGTATTTATGGATTTATGACCGTGTTTTGACATGACCATAAGTGCCTAATTGAGGAAATTGCACTGCAGGCCCATGAACTTGGTGCAAGGGTACAATTTAGTTCACAAAGCCTCGCCGCGAATGGCTACGGTGACAACAATACAATGATCATGAACCGGCCTCAAAGGATGTGCACCTCAACCATCATCGAGCTTGCATACACGTCATGGTGCACAAACGCATGCATCAGCCTAGGGTCTTGTTGGTATGACATGGTAAGTTTGATGGTAGCAATGACAACGGGGATGTCGAAGGTAGGTGGCAATGAACTGGCCTGAGGTGGTAAGGTGGGCCTCGAGGAAGAGCAACAGCTGTGGTGCCGGACATCATCGATCATGGATAACATAATTAACGAGAACGACCACACAATAGAGTAGCTCGAGGATGCGGAAGCCGGGTTGGTGGATGGTGAGCACGGTGGCCTTGTTGTGCACGGTGGCCAAGTCACTGGGCATATTGACGACGCGTTGTGCAATGCTGGAGACAAGGCCAGAGTTGGCCTCATTCAACAACGGCACAGTCCAGTCTTACACGAGGTCGACGCCGATGGACATTCCTCCACTCATGACCCTGGAGGAGGCAATTTGAAAACACATCATATGTGATATTGATCAAGGAAAACAATAACCAGTACAAAGAAAAGATAACATGACACAAAACAACCAGTAAAGATAGAGATCAAGGGGAGCTTCCGAAAAAGAGCTCACCTGATTATGCTAAACAAAACTCTTTGAATTTGTTTCAGAGGCCACGTCAACTACTAGTGCGTGCTAGCATGTCGGATGTAGGCATGTAACGATACTAGTATGATTTGGATCAAATGTAGGCGGTCCGGTGATACGGCTTGGTGTGGCGGGATGTGACGCCCGGATAATCAAGCTACAGTAACCTCTGCTAATGACATCACGTCACCTCCGTTACTGTCGCTAATCTCGCGTTAGTTCGAAAACGATTCAAATTTAAATTTGAAATTAAGCCAAACAACAAAAGTTTTCCAAAAATGAAACTAAAATGTTCTAAATGTGTCGGATAAATCATAGGTAAATGGGGTGGTGAAACCAAACTTTTATGAAATGCTTAACTACACCATAATGATTTAAATAGTAGCAAAACTAATTATTTAAATGCCTTCACTAATTAAATAAAATATAACACTAAATTATTTGGGGACTAGAGTTTTTGTGGCAGTGGACTAAATTGAAATACCAAATTAGATGCCAAGTATATATTTCACAAAAAAACTAAACAATAAATT